AGTAAAAGGCCCCCAAACCAAAATATCTGGTTTAATCTTGATTCCCCGATTCTACCGGTTCTCCAAGCTACCAAGCTCCGAGAGACGGCCAGAGGAACGGTAGCAACAGGCGGCAGACACCCAAAAATACCTATATTTGTATTTATTTTTCCGGTTTGTTTGTGGATTTTTTATTACAGCATAGATTTGGGTAACAGGTTTTTTTTTTAAACACCATAATTTATGGCAAACATTTTGCCGGCTTATTGGAACGTGTTTTTATTTTATTTTGTATAATAAAGGATAAGATATCATTTCCATAGAAATTGAAAGCTAGATCTCGGTATGGAAATGGTTTGGGATAGAGAAATGAGTAATAACTGGCCATTGCTAATGAGAGACCGCAAAATGCTTACTCATCGAAAGAATGGGAGAATGGAGCGATAGGTGGAGTCCACAGAAAAGGAGAAAAACCAGTTCAGACAATCCCCTCTACCCATTCCAGATATTATTATAAACATTCTAATATGAAACATTTCAGCGGTAGATAGAACAAAGAAAGCGAAAAAAGGAAGAAGTTTTAAAGCTCATATTCGAGAGAGTTTTCGTAAGAGACAACTTCTTGTTTCCTTCTTGAATATTCCGGTTCTTCAGGGGCCCAAGAAGAGGGAGAGAGAGACCCCAAGAGAGGCCCCGAGCAGACGTTATTAATGATCCCGAAAAATGTTGACGACGGACCAGCAGGCAGCAAAACCCCATGAAAGGGGCAAAACGCATGTTTTTTTCTTTGGTTTTCAGATACCAAAAAAAAAATGAGTGGAATACAGGTGCGGATTAAGGTCAGGCTTCAGATGACTTTGTCTGATTTTAAGGCAAATCAATTTTTGGATTTTCAAAAATTGTTAAATGAATTGGAAATTTTTTTTTACAGTTTTTTCTTTAGGGGAAATAATTTAAAGACAATTTATGAGGGATTACGATTACAGAAATAGTTTATGCTTTTTTTTTATTTAATTTTAATAAGAGGAACTAAATAACGAAATTTATTGCGGTAAAAATCCCTTGAATTGGGCATTTTCTTTCTGAAAGATGGCTAAAAATGGTTGATTTATTTTTTCAAAAATGTATCTTTACTGTATCACTGATCCAGCACTGTTTTTAGACCACTCCAACCAGAGAAATATCTATACAGACTCCGCGCCACACACAAATGTGGATATGGTGGGAGGGGGGATGCGGGATGCCCATATAAGAAGTTGTAGTACAACTCCAATGTTTATAGTATTTGTAGAATGCCGAGGGGCCAGTCTGCACGACAGCCAGGCGTACTATAAGATACAAGATACAAGAGCCAGTCAGCCAGCCAGCCAGCAGCAACAACAAAACTAACGCAACATGGTAGAAACCGGTTCAGAGCACAGCACACATATTCTGGCCCACGACTGTGCGTGTTGGTGTATTCTGGACCACGACTGTGTGGGTAAAATCAAACAACGAAGACGAAGACATAACAAAAGAGCTGCTGCTGCGGCTGCTGCTGCTGGGAGAGAGGCTGAAGGAGGGGAGAGAGAGACAGGACGAAGAGAGAAGGAGGCTACAGACAGCACAGGCTGCTCTCAAGCTATAGAAGGAGGCTACGGTAATCAAGCTCTTTGAATATTCTAGTCTCCAACATAACCCTATGCTGTAATAAGCCCTGCCAGAGAAGAGAGGGAGAGAGAGAGCAGCAGCAGCTATGAGAGGACCAACAGCAGGAGACAGACTCAAAAAGCTGAGGGCAAAAGAGAGAACTACAAAAAGACCTTCGAGCAGCATACACACACACACTAGTACACCGCCTCCTTCTTGCTTTTCATATTCTTGAACTTCAAAAAAGTAAATACAACAAAAAAAAAACACACAGCATATAACCGTATGCACATGATTACACAAAGACTGCAGACTAGAAGAATACCCTTTATGGCTGGGTGTGCCCAATCAGACCCTTGGCACCAATCGAGTGTTACATATCTGCCCGCAAACACGCATCCCACTCTCCATACCCTACAACAAATGGGTAAAAACGAAGAAGAAGAAGAAACAACAACGCAATGTTGTCGGCGGCGGCAGTCAAGCTGTCAGACAGCTACTGGTGTTAAACCCCGTAGTACATAGTAGTAAAAAAAGGCAGCGCAGCAAAAACAACAACAATTACTACTACTCCACGCACACACACACACATACACACACAAATATATATATACTACGCTGCGTATACGCCATGTCTGGGCTCTGGGGCGCTGCTGCTGCTGCTGCTGCCTTCGCCTTATCGAATGTTTTTTTCTTCCTCTTTTCCATCATCGTATTTCTTCTTGCGCTTCTGCTTTTGCTGCTGCGGCTGCTGCTGCTGCTGCTTATTTTCAATCGCTAATGCTCATTGCTCATTACCATTATTGCTTAAATCCCAAGGAAAGCCTCTACATTTTGCTCAAGATAAAGAAATATATTATCACAAAGCACAATTTTAAAGAAATCATTGAACTTTTGAACACTACTGTGTGTGTCCCCTACTGTATTCCAACTTCTTCTTTCCCTTGCTCAACTCTTCTTTTGGACTCATATTCTTGGCAGTCACTGTGTGAGAGGGCCCCAAAGACCATCCATTACAAATGCTTTTCTTTTCATTTTCATGTTTATATTCCGATCTAGGGGCTTTCTGCTTTTAATGCTCTCTACATGATCTTGTTTTTTGTGGTGTGTCTGTTCTGGGATTTAGGCAATTCCAACTTTTTGATGGATTGTTATTGAAGTTTTTGTTGGCCTGTTTGTTGTTCTCTGGCAGCCTTTAATGGTTTTTTCTTCTGCCCCGAACAAAAGATCTAGAGATCTACAGATACAGCTTGTAAGATTTGTAAAAAAAAGATGATTTGTTCAAGGTTCTTACATGGTTTTCGGGAATTATGCCCTAAGCTCAAATTAATGACAAAATTTAATGGGAATTTACAAGGTTACAAAAGGGTTGCTTGCTCGTTAACCTCGTTGGATTTCTACCATAAATTTTCTCTCAGTGCATTGGCCTAATTGAGAAACTAGCTTCAATACCAAAATTGGCTCATTGTCCTGGCCATAAAAGGCACGCACCACACATACTCGTACAGCGTCGAAAACTCATAGAAGAAAAAACGTGCCGTGCCTCGCGTATAATGAAGTTAATAATAAAAATGAAGAGAAGAAAAAAAAACAGCAACAGAAACATTTTGCCGCTAACGATAAACCAAATTTGTACAAATAAAATAAATTAATAAACAATCAACGTGCGAGCTTTTTTTCCATTACCATTCGGGTTTGGTTTTCCAAAACGGGGGAACATGCCATACGACATCATCATAGGCCATAGAGCTCTAGGTTTTTGTCTGTGTGAAGGGGGGGCGAGTGGGTGGTTGGGTGGCTTTTTTGGTTTGGTTAATTCATAGAACTGTGCTCCATTCCCGTTCTATTCGGTTCTGTAATTACCAACAACCGAGAATATTCTTGCCATTGTTAATTTCTAACTATAGAAAACCGCAAAAACACACTCTGACACACACCAACAGCCAACTCGCACGATGATGGAATGACAATAAAATGGTTGTACACATTGTGTATAATTATTAACAAGTGGAAACGTTATAGTTCTGCTTTTACATTGCCTGAGAATTTGATTTTGCAACAGCTGCGAGCAATTTCCAAGAAAGATTCTTTCAATGGGAGCGACCCTTGCAAGTATCCTACAATTACAATTACAGGGTATACGAAACACACCTTCCTTGAGCACAAGCAAAAACAAAACACAAAAAGCAGAGGCGAAGAAACGGACGTTAAGAACTCTACCATTGCTCGTATAAATGTCAATTGAGCACGCGTTCTTGTTGCTTTGCCCATAAATGGAAGCTATATATAAATATATATATGTACATATGTATGTACATTTTGTTGCTTCTAGTGTTGTTGCCAAGTGCGTTTTTAGTAATTTGCTGATAATTATCAACAAAACAAATGCGCGCTCCACGCACATTCAAATGTGAATCAGAGAGTGAGAGAGAAAGAACCGCAGAGTAGAGCAGAGCAGAGCAGGGCAGAGCAGAGAGTGAGAGAGCGAGAAATTTGGGCCGGGCAGCAGCAGAACCAGAACCAGAAGCAAACGCATTGCAGCGCGCTCGTCTCATGTGTGCGATGCAGTTGGCAGCGCTAATTACACAAGTGTATGTTCGTGTGTGAGAGAGAGAGAGAGAGAGATGTGTGCATGTGTGTGGCAGAGGAGAATGGGGGTTAATGGGGGAGTTCGGTCGGCAACAGTGGCTTGGCTTATAGTGCAGGCGGGCAGGCAGGGGCACAGTGGGACACGCAGGCAGGGCTCAAAACTCGAAATACAACAAAAGAACAACAAATTCAATGTTTAGGAAAAATTTCAGTAGCTGCTAGAATTTTAAATTCAACTTTTTTTGCAATTTAACATATCAATGATAAAGAATGCACACACACGCACACATGTATTTTTTTAAGGCCCATTGTTCAACTTTAGTTTTTGTATTCTCCTTTTTTTTTCCAGGTTTTTATGAACAATATGATGTGCAAATTATCCAACAAATAGTATTGTTCCTAAAAGTTTTATGTAAATATAGTAGCGAAGAGAAACAGAGAGAGAGAAAACAAAAGCAAAAGAGAGACAGAGATAGAGAGAGACCGAGAAAAAGCAAAACAAGACGGGAACGAGAAAAAAACAATAGCACGCTCTCGGCTTTGGTCACACTAAACTCACAGAAAGAGAGAGAGAGCGGGAGAGTAGCACCGTGCATTGGTATGTGTGACTGTTGTGAATGGAAGACCAGCGCTGCCGCCGTCGACGCCACTGAGGCTGCCGCTTGCCAACAACGTAAAAGAGCAAGTGTACGAGGAAGGGTGGGGAGAGTCACGGGCAAGGGAAGGGGGCGAGCGCAAAATGAAATAAGAAATTTTCCAATTGGCATGGGTGCAGGGGGGCCTACAAGAATTTTAGCGCTTACCGTTTTTACTTATTGACGTAGGCGTCCCACCGTCTCCTGTGTGTGTGCGAACGTGTGTGTTTGTTGGTTGATGTGTGCGTGTTTTTTGTCACTCGTTTTCTTTTCTCTGGCTCTTTCCTTTTGCTCTTTCTGCTGGCGTTGTTTTTGTTATGCAAAAGGCATAGAATATATTTTTTATTTTTGTTATATACACGATAAAATCACAAACACTCTTTACACATTATTTAACTCTCTCTCTCTCTCTTATGGCCGCTGCTGGTGCACATGCAATAGAAATTTAAGTATATACATTAGGTATTTGGTGGATTTACAACTTTTTTTTGTGGCAGGCAGGCCTTTGGGTCGCGTAAAACAGGGGGCACACCAATGTGGACGCAACGCGACAGCACAACGACCGACCGCGTAGCAAGCACGAAACGAAACGAACCGAAAAAACACTTTGCCGTGAAAAATTTTCATTCATTGAGGAAAATTGAAATGAGCGAGGCAGAGGAGCCTTGCATGTGACTCTCTCTCTCTTTCCGTGCGTGTTTGTGGAGTCTCTCTCGAATAGTGCTGCCAACTCGGCAGAAAGAGGCACATTTCAAAAACTTGCAAAACATAGCATATTATTTTAAAAAAATATTGAAATTTTTCGAGTTACACTAAATCGATTTTTTAAAATTTCACAATTTTTTAAATTAATGCCTTTTTAGCAGGTTGGCAGCACGGTTGGTGAGCTCCACTTTGTTTCTGTTTGTCTGCATGTGTGTGTCTTATTTGCTGCTCTCTCTGGCTCTTTTCGCACTCGACTTCTCTCGCTCTTTCCTTCTTTCCTCACACGCGCTTTGGGTTTATTTTGTTGTTTCCTTCATTAATTCAATATTTAACCAATATTTAGTTAGTATATTCGTACTACACTTAATTAAACGTGAGTGTTTGATGCCCCAACACTATGGCACTTTTTCACTTGTTTTCACACACACACACACACCAAATACGCACATGCTCTGGCACTTGTGATTGTGTGTATTGCTGCTGCTGCCAGAGTGAATAGCCAATTTTTTTGTGATACCCATTAAATAACGCACCTTTTATACTGGGTACTACCGTTCGGAACGTTCTGGCACTTGGCACAAAAATTCAAACAAGCGCGCACTCGACACGCCATTCAGATTTTGGGAAAAACCAGAATGTAACTGCTGCCTTGTGTCGCTTTTATTGGGTCTGGGGGCCTGGGCCAACATCGCGATTGCAGTCCTTTACAGAAAAGCCCGCAAGCCCGCGCGCCACAACAAGACACAACCTGCACCAAAAATCATAAATTACGGTTCAAAAATATAGCTAATCATCTGATGAAACTGTTTTTTAGCAAGACTTATGTTATATTTCTCATTTTGGGCCTGCAAGCCGTTCCTTAAAATCCGAACAGCCAGATCAAAAAAAATAAAACGTTAAAAGCCGGTCCCAATAAACTCTAAATTTACTTCTATTTACTTCATTTAATTAATTAAACAACGACGCGCAGCGCAGCAACCGCTCGGTTCAAAAATTGGAATTTGATAACACTTATCGGATTTTTGTGAAATCCGATGGACCGATGAAGAACGAGCTTTAACCCACTTAACCCCCCTCCATTTATACAGCTCATCAGCTTGAATAAAATCGCAGAAAATAATACCATTTGTATATTCTTCTTGTAGATCCATCGCTTCTCTTTCTCGACAACCAAAATTTCCACGATATATTTAACCTGAACTGGGCTAAAATTATTCAATTATTATAATTTTCGGTGGAATATTAAAATACCTCCTTGGTCTTTAATGTGTTAATCGTTCTGCGTCAATGATAGGAAAGCAAGTTACTTGAGCGCCAAACAGAAATCGTTTGAAAGTTAGTGAGGGATAAGAATTTAATCAAATTGATAATCTAATCGGTCCCAGCTGGAAAATGTTGAGTAAAATGAGGGTATTGAAGGCCCAGAAAATTTAACGCATGCCAGGTAAAATCCAAACCTTTGCTTAACATACCGTGCAGACCAAATTCGATGTCAGCAAAGACACAACGAGGTGAGCTTTGTGAGAGTCTTGAAATTTTTCTTCCCTGTTTTTTATGTTGTCCATACCTTTCCATGCCCGTGCGGTTCGGTAACAGCAAAAATTGAGCAATGGTGCTCTCTCCTGACTCATTTTTGCGTTGCATGTATGAGTTTAAGGTTCGAATGGAGCATGGAGCAGTGTGACCGTCTGGCCTGCAGATATATACCGAAATACACCGTATATATAACGACGACGTATTTATATTCCCCGATCTTGATATGCCGTTTAATATAACTATCTAGGAATACATGTTTTCATCCGATTGACGAATAAATTTTCTACAATATTGCCTTATATTACGTTCTCCCCTCGACATATTTCATTGCCAATAATAACATCGATGGTTATCGAAGAAAAATATTGAACATTTTTGCGGTAGTTTTAAGACCTGGCAGCGCTGTGGTGCGCGGGAAATTAGAATATTTCTTTAATTCCTGACAACCTAATTCCTAGGGTCCGGCAACACTTTGACATTGCGTTTCAGTGCGACTGTAGCGTATAAAAAAAACCAATTCGCGCGCATTTTAAAATAATTTGAATTTAAATTCAACTGATTTCTATTAAATTAAGCTCCTTTCGGATAAATGAGATAAATTAAGACCCACCCAAATACCAAAAAATAGTATTGGCCGTTAAAAAAATTCCGAAAAATGTCCAACACTCACAAGCAGATTCATTCCACACCCCTCTGTTCCGTGGAGGGAAAAAAACTGCAAACATTCTTCAAATTTGCGCTGGAACTTTAGGAATATGAAAACCGCGCTATGTGACCCCCGTGCACCTGCTGCCGCAAAGCGACATAAATTACGCATACGTCGTGTTAGCCGTGGGAAAATATATAAATGTTTCCGCCCACCACCCACCCGCACACCAGCAGAAAGAACACCAACAATTTGTTGTACCTTCTGTTGCTGTTGCTATTATTGCCATAACTTTAGACTTTTATGAGCAGCCAGGACTCAAGGAATGCCCCGAGAGTGCCCAGCACTCTCTGCTCCACTCTTCCGATCATCATCTTGCAACATTTCACACTCGAAGTTTAATGAGGCGCGAAGTGCAAGTCGCGCAAATGAGGCAAAAGGTCTTGAAAGTCCTCGGCGTCCTCGTCGTCGTCGTACATTAGATCCAATTAATTAATCGATGGGTGGCTGGGATTTGCCCTTGAGAGAGGGAGAAAGTACTTTCTCTGAAAGATTATTATTATTATTATTATTAAAATCTCCTGCAAGATCCACAAGGAATAAAAATATATCATAAAAATTATGCAAATAATAAAAGAAAACAGATTTTTCACAGAGATTTGCCATTGAGTGGGGTATGAGGGGGGTGTGGCTGTGGGTTTTGATATTTAAAATAATAATCATAATTTGCTACACCTGTCGTCAAGTTTTTATGTCCGCAGTGACTGGCTGGGCATAAAAAGTAATTTGTAAAATTTCCACCTATAAAACATTTATAATAAAAAACCACAGCAGCAAGTGTCAAACGAAGACACCCTCTATCACGTAACCCCCCGCCCCCCCCCCCTTTTGCAACTTTCTCGCAACCCATTTCCCCAACTTCCCCCTACCCCTCCCCCACTGTCCTCTCTTGGACCAACACATTTTTCGCATTTAGTTTGTGATAAAAAAATAACGCAAAAACAAACATTAAAAACGAATATTCACTTGAAACCAACATTAGGGCAAGTTGTGGGTTAAAGGGGGATGTTACAGGGGCCGGGGGGTGGAGAGTTTGGAGTTTTTCCTCTGGTAATGTGATAGAGAACTTTTCCGCTTATTAGTTGGCATTTTTTTTTAATTTCTGGTCAACAAATAAAATAGAATTCAAGAGGAAGGCAGGCGGCTGTCCTCTCAGGCTAATTGAGGGTTCCAAATGGCAGGTCTTTGAGCCACAACTGTGCAGTGGAGAGTAGAAAAACAAATTAATTTAATTTGTGGAAAAAAAAGAATCAATTAATAAAAGAAAAAATAGTGAAAAATAGTGATAAAGTTCTGCACTCAACATTGAGTGCTCATCAAAATAGTTTAACCAATTTGAAGTGAGTTTAATTTTAAATTAATTAATGCCTGTTGGTGCTGTTGCCACAGCGCGTGTTGCACACGAATACACTGGCACAAAACACGTACTTTGTATGCTTACAAACACATTTTAAATAATGAAATTTGTGCATAAAACTTTCGCTTTGGCAAAATCCAACAAACAACAGGAACAACATGAAAGGAAGAGACCCCCTTCGAAGGTCGAGACTGGTAGATACCCTAGAAGATTGGGCCTTAGGTTGGCCAGAGTTCAGCCAAAAACTTCTCTTGGATGTTGCATGAGGCAGCAACCGCAACAGCTGCTGAGTCGGTCCCAGAAATCCAGTCTCGGGCGATGGTCCCAAGAACCTCTCCATAACCATCATACCCCTTTGTTCATGGCCTGGCACTTACAACAAGTAAAACAGGTCTGTTGCATGCAACACACATCAAGCAAAGGCAAACAAAGGCCAGAGGTCTGGGGTCTGGGGTCAGCGGTCAGGGGTTCTGGTCCAGGACTCTGGATCCATAAAAGAGTTACAAAATGACCGGCGGGCACTTTGCTTTTTTAGCTTTCTTTTTGCCGCTCTATTTTTGTAAATTCTTTTTATTCTGTATTTTTTCTGGAGAGTTAATTGGAATAGTTTTGCGCCAAATATAAACAAGCTTCAAGTGCAGATAGTTAGGGGGTGGGGGGAGCGTTGCGGAGGTGCGCTTAAGGGTCGGTTAGGCGTGGTCGCTGGTGCGTGGTGGCTCGAGGAATTTTTTGATGCTGTAATAGAAATTAATTTCGCACAGAACCTTGAATTTTTTGAGCCAAAAACTTAACAAAACTTAATACAACTTTCTTCTCTCTCTCTCTTTTGCACTCTTTCCGGCATATGGTGGGGGGTTTGGGCCATAAAATTTGATTTAATAACCACTGCCTGCTGGCCTCCGCTTGCTACCATAAAAATGTCAGCCATTAAAATGGCCCCAAAAGCAAAACAACAACAACAAAAATATTCACATAAACGAAAAGCATTTAAAATGAAATGAATCCTACAGGATCGGGTTCGGTTTCGGTTTCGGGTCTCCGACGGGGTCTTAAGGTCTTTATTAGCCGTTTCGGCAGGCATGGCATTTCCCAAAAGTTCATAAGTTGTCCATAGAAAACGGACTTTTCTTATGGAAATTCGTTTAATGGCCAGGCTTTTGGGAGTCTCTTTTCGGGTCATTCATTTTATATATTTAAGCGTAGGATTCGGGTTTATAATCGATTCTAGCACCAAATGCATGACAGGGCACCTTTCAATGATGTGAT